CCTTCGCTTCTCAGTCCCAGGCCCACCAGCACTGAGCCCAACCCTGGAAACCTCACTGCTGGGTTAACCTCAGCGGTAGCAAAAGCAAGAAGCGTGCAAAATGGTAAAACCACTTTGCATGAGCCAAACCCCAAAAAACCTCTCCTGCTCATGGCAAGCCCTGCATGTATGCAAATTGGTTTTTTTTTCTTCTTCACTCAGAGCAGTGGGCCCAGCACTGGGTGCCTAAGCCCGGTTACAGCCAGAGCCTGTCAGCCGGAAGCTATAGAGATGCTCCCAGCTGGCACCTGCCTCTGACAGGTGAACAGCTCACTTCCTGCCAGGGCAGGAAGTGACCGGGGCTCTCAGCACGAAAGGCTGCCAAGTCCTCCCCACCGTGGACCCTATCCCCTCTCCCCAGAGGGGAACTTTGCTTCCTGGAGGTCCCAAGTAGGAAAAGGAACCAAATGTACTTTTGATTTGGCCCTGCCAACCCCAGAGCCTGATCGCTTGCTCCTCTGCCTGGTGCAGCAGCAGGTGGACCTGGCAAAAGGAGGGCAGACCAGCGCTCTGCCTAACCATGGCCTCCTGGGTACCAGGGCTGGGGTCTTGTGTATCAATGTCCCAATGCCTGGCATATACTAGGAACTGTTAGGTAAATTTATTATTATTAATTTAAAAGATGTATTTATTTGAAAGACAGAAATACAGAGAGGGAGGAAGAGAGAGCGAGAGTACTTCCAGGCTGTCTTCCTGCTGTGGTAGCTCCTACTCCCCTGGTGGCTGCAATGACTAGGATTGGGCTGGGTTGAATCCAGGAGCCTGGAACACCAGCTGGGTCTCACATGTTGGCTCAAGCACTTGGGACATCTTCCACAACTTTCTCTCAGGCTCATTAGAAAGGAGCTGAATCATATGTAGAGCTACCAAGGGTCGAACCAGTCAGTGCCTATAGGAGTGGCTGGTATTGTAGGCAGAGGCTTACACTACTATGCCACAACAGTTATCCTGTTGAGTAAGCTTAGAAGTTCTCACTTCAGGCCTGGTGTGATGGCTCAGTGGCTAAGTCCTTTCCTTGCATGAGCTAAGATACCATACAGTTCATGTCCTAGTTGTTCTTCCTCCCATCCAGCTCTCTTGCCTGTGGCTTGGAAAAGCAGTCAAGAACAGCCCAAAGCCTTGGGACCCTGCACCCATGTGGGAGACCCAGAAGAAGCTCCTGGCTCCTGACTTCAGATACGCTCAGGCCACTTTGGGAGTGAATCAGCAGATGGAGGACCTTTTTCTCTATCCTTTTCTCTAAAAATCTGATCTGCTTTTCCAATAAAAATAAATAAGTCTTTTTTTTTTAAGATTTGTTTTTATTGGAAAGGCATACAGAGAGGGGGAGATACAGAGAAAAAGATATTCCATCTGCTGGTTCACTCCCCAAGAGGCTGCAATGGCCAGAGCTGAGCCAATCTGAAGCCAGGAGCCAGGAACGTCATCCGGGTCTCCCACATAGGTGCAGGGTCCCAAGGCTTTGGGCTGTCCTTGGCTGCTTTCCCAGGCCACAGGCAGGGAGCTGGATGGGAAGCAGGGCCTCCAGGATTAAAACCGACACCTATATGGGATGCCCAGCATGCAAGGCAAGGAGTTTACCCACTAGGCTACTGTGCTGGGTCCAATAAATCATTTAAAAAGAAAGAAAGGAAGGAAGGAAGGAAGGAAGGAAGGAAGGAAGGAAGGAAGGAAGGAAGGAAGAAATGAAGTTACCACTTCCCTGACACCACCTGAGCCCCAAGAGACAAGGACCATGTCCTCCACATCTAGCGTTTAGCACCTGTGGGTGGAGAGCTAAAAACAAGCAAGTACTAAGGAGAGCATGTGCAGAAAAGCTTTAAGAAGCTTTACTTTTGTTTTTTTTACAAGCCAAATGAATGCAGCTTGAATATCCTTAATCCAAAATTCTGAAATCTAAAATACTTAATACTATAATGGAAATCTTTTGGACTCTGACATGACATCTCCGGTAGGAAGTTCCACACTGTGAAACTGTTAAGCGTGAAATTACTAAAACTGTCTAATGACCTCCAGGCAATGTGAGAAAGGCATCTACAGACATCAGTGAGCTTTGCGTTGAGGCTTGGTTTCCATCCCACAGATGTCTCACCGGGGTGTGCAGATATCCCCAAACCCAAGCACTTGAGGCCCCAACCCTTCCTGATAAGGGTTATTCGACCTGTATAGCACACACTGGTATCACACTTTATTTGCAAGACAGAGAGAGAAGAGATGGAGGGAGAGAGCTTCCATCCAGTGGTTCACTTCCTAAATGCCGGGAACAGCTAGGACTGGGTCAAACCAAAGCCAGGAACTCCATGCAGGTCTCCCACATGGGTACAGGGACCCAAATACTTGGGATACCTTCTGTAGTCTTCCCAGGAGCATTAGCAGGAAGCTGGATCGGAAGTGGAACAGCTCAGATAGGAGATGCCAGTGTCTCAAGGGGCAGCTTAACATGTTGTGACACCTGAGTCATGCAGGCACTTTTCTAAACACCTTAATCACCTCACTTAGTCTTACCCAAAAATACAAGGCAGTATCCTTTTAAAATTCTACTTATTTGGGTCCATGTTGTTTAAAAGGCAGAGAGAAGTGGGGGAATCTCTCCTCCTTTGGTTTACTCCCCACATACCCAAACCAGCTGGAGCCTGAGCAGGTGGAAGCCAGGGACCCAACACTGCATCCAGGGTACCCTTGGGGAGAGCAAGGACCCACGTGTGTGAGCCGTCCTTTGCTGCCTTCCCAGTGTGCACATTAGCAGGAAGCTGGATCGCACCCAGAGCTAGAATTAAAATCCAAGCACTCGGGTGAGAGATGCGGGCACCTTCCCCACTCTACTTTGGCCTTGATATCACCATTGTACAGAGCGCTTAGGTTATTTGCCCACAGTCTCATAGGTAATGAAAGGCAGGACCTGGGCCTGGACCCTGGAAGCAGCTGCCCACCCGTGCCCAAGTTCAGCTCCACCAGACCCCAGATTCTCTGCTCTGCTTGGGGGAGTGCAGCTCTAGTCAGGCGTCCAGAAGCAAGCCTCTCCTGCTGCCACCTCCGCCTGGAACCCTGGGAGCCCAGAGAGGCACTCAGAGCAGCGACCCAGCGGCATCCAGGAGGAGGGAAGTGGAGGCAGCAGGCCAGCCACTCTGAGGCTTTTGAGAAGCACCCGGTGCCAATTAGCAGCCTTGCCATGCCAGGCCCAGATGGAGCTCTGACTCAGGGCTCACTCGGTCAATTATCACCTGTCCCTGGAGCCCGGGGGCCAGGCGGGGAAAAAAGCTGCTTCCCCGTCTCCAGCCGGCTGCCATGCTGCCTGGGGCTGCCTGGCCGAACGCTCAGGGCGGCGGCAGGGGCAGGTGCTTGGCCAGCTGCTGGGGGCCGGAGCCCTGGGTTTGAGAGCCATGCTTGGCTTCTGCCTTCCGCAGTGACCCTAGTCAGCCCTGTTGTGCCTCGGCCATCAGCCTCGGGGTCATGTCTACGACCCATGGTGTGTGGATATGGCATCTTTGGAACCACGAGTGCTTCTGTTTTTCCCTAGGAGCCTCTGCTCCTCATCTGTGAAATGAGCCGAGAGTGGCACCTCCTTAGGTAGAGATCGCGTAAATTAAGTGAGAGAATCCATAGCATGCACCTCCGTTCCTGGCAACTGCATACCCCGTGATCAATGGAAATTCTTTGTAGGCCTCATATGCCTGTGAAGTGATACTGACATTAACGCAGCATCGTTGTATGTCCTAAGGTCTGTTGCAGCCCACAGTCCCTGTCCTGGAGTTGTTCCCTGCCCACTGGCTTCAGTCACCTCCCGCGTGCCAGCTCCTGTGTCAGATGCTAGGGATACTAACATTAAAACTCAGCCCTCCCTCAACCCGCCTTCGCAGCCAGGGGTAGGTTCCAGTTCACCAACCCAGGCCCGTGGCAGGCGGGCGCCAGCTTGGACCAGCTTGCCTCAAAAGAGCTGATTGTGTGCATTTGGTCCCGGTCGTGTTCAGCACTCTCAAGTTGGTGGCTGGGAATTTGTTCTGGCGGGAGGCTTGACATCTCAGAAATGGCCAAACACAGCAAAGCAAGCCAGGGCTTTCCCCGTTCCTCATAGTCAGAGTTGCCCCTGCCTGTGTGCTACTGCAGGGACTGAATCAGCTGCTGTGGGGAAGTCTCAGAGGCTCAGGCATTGGGCTTGCAACTCCCAAGGCGCCAGCACATGGGAGAGAAGGGTGTTCAATCCCGGGGACCCTTGTGTGCGGCCAGGACGTCTGACACTGCCAATAGATGAGAGTGGTGACAGATGGGGCTGGAGAGAGATACAGCAGGGTGGTCAGCCCTCCCCGCTGGCCTCAGACGAAGGCAGTTACTGGGGCACAGGACTTCCAGGCGGAAGGCCAGAAGGACTGATTTGGCCACCAAATCAGTGGGAAGGCTGCAGAGAGAACGAGCAAGGGACAGAGGCACTGATGGTGGCTTGAGATGGAGGCGATTTTGGCAGGGCCCAAACAAGCACACAGCTTGACCGAACAGCCCTCCACCCCTCCCTCCTTCCCATGCGATTCTCCCAGTGTCCCAGGAGGGATCCAGTCATCCAGTCGGCACCTCTGTATTGAGCCCTGCATATACCTGGCTCAGCTCCTCTTCCTCTCTCCACATGCCTTCTGGGTACGGAAAAGGCAGCACCTAGGTTTCCCAGCATGGTTGCAAATGGTAGTGGCACCTCCTGAAGGAAACAGAGGCTGAAGGAAACAGCTAGGGCCACAGAGAATCACTTTAGTAAAGGTGGTCAGGGTGGCCTCGTGGAGGAGGTGACATTGAAGCCAGAGCTGACACCCAGCTTGGCGACCTATGGCCTGGGGCACAGTGGCTGCGGGAAGGCAGCAGGAAGCTAGCCTGGAGATCTCAGGCCACGTGGGCTGGGTTGGGAGTGTGGAGGTGATCTAAAAGCCAGAGGAGTCCTGCCTCACTTCCCCAGTTACCCTCCTTGTCTTCTCTCGCAGCCTGCCCATCTGGAACTTTCAAGGCCAACCAGGGGGACGAGGCGTGCACCCACTGTCCCATCAACAGCCGGACCACTTCCGAAGGGGCTACCAACTGCGTCTGCCGCAATGGTTACTACAGAGCTGACCTGGATCCCCTGGACATGCCCTGCACAAGTAAGTCCCAGGCACCTGAGGTCAGCCCTTCCCTGGATTTCCCCTCCCCATCCGAACCCCAAGCTGGTCCCCAAGGACAGCCCAGAGTGAGGGGGCCAGACAGCTTTCCTGAGTGCCGGGCTGCTGCATGCTGCAGGTGGGGGTCAGAAACAGGTCTTGGAGTGGTAGCACCGCCTGCAGGGTAAAGTTCAAGGTCAGTTCACTGAGGAGCCCTGGCAGGAGACAGACCGACACGCGCAGTGGTTCTGCAGCATGGCAGGCTGCCCTACGTTCTGGGAAAGATGACTCAATGACTGTATCAGTCAGCTGGGGCGTTTAACTGCGAGGAAAAGAGGACGCCAGTGGCTCAAAGCCAGTTGACTTACTCTCTCCCAGAAAGCCAGTCCTGGTGGAGGATGATAAAACCATGAGGATCTCCGGGGCTTGGCTCTTTCCAGCATGTAGACCATGTAGTTCCTATGCTTAAGGTCACTTCCGAGTCCAACACAGCTGCTAAAGCTCCAGCCCCATCGCATACGTTCTGGATGGCATATAGCAGGAGAGGACAAAGGGACATGCCACACTTGTATGTCTCCCTTTTGTAACAGAGTTCTGATTAAATACCTGCCAGCTCTCATCCATGGGCAGCTGGGGCATGGGGTCTTGCAGCTGGGTACCTTGCTGCCCCATGTGAAGTTGAGTCCCACGATACAGCAGCAGGGAAAAATAGAAATGAGATGGGCCCAGCACGGTAGTCTAGCAACTGAAGTCTTTGCCTTCCATGCGCTGGGATCCCATATACATGCTGGTTTGTATCCCTGTGGCCCCGCTTTCCATCCAGCTCCCTGCTTGTGGCCTGGGAAAGCAGTCAAGGATAGCCCAAAATCTTGGGATCCTGCACCCACATGGAAGACCCGGAAGAAGTTCCAGGCTTTTGGCTTTGGATCAGCTCAGCTCTAAATGTTGCGGCCACTTGGGGAGTGAATCATCAGACAGAAGATCTTCCTCTCTGTCTCTCCTCTCTGTATATTTGAGTTTTAAATAAATAAAAGAAACAAGGTGGGGATCTTCCCAGCCACAAACCAGCCCCAAGCATAGACCGTAGGGAGTTCCAAGGGAAAGACTTAAGCAGGTACCCAGCCTGCTAGACTGTGTTCTGGAAACATCTCTCAGGTGAACAGGAGGAAGGACTTGGAGGAGGCCCTGGGGGAGCAGGGGAGGGACTGGCACCCTACGACCCCCACTCACCCAAACCTCTCCCCTTCCCCAGCCATCCCCTCTGCCCCCCAGGCTGTCATCTCCAGCGTCAATGAGACTTCCCTCATGCTGGAGTGGACCCCGCCACGGGATTCTGGTGGCCGCGAGGACCTCGTTTACAACATCATCTGTAAGAGCTGCGGCTCGGGCCGGGGCGCCTGCACCCGCTGTGGCGACAATGTGCAGTATGCGCCACGCCAGCTGGGCCTGACAGAGCCACGCATCTACATCAGCGACCTGCTGGCCCACACCCAGTACACCTTCGAGATCCAGGCCGTGAACGGCGTCACCGATCAAAGCCCCTTCTCACCGCAGTTCGCCTCCGTGAACATCACCACCAACCAAGCAGGTGAGCGCCTCGGGTGTTGGGCCAGGGCCCCAGTGCACAGGGCTGCTCCACTGCCAGCCTGGGGTTCCCGGCATGTGTCCTGACACTGCCTGCCTGGCCCTCTGTGGGTGTGGTGACTGCTGAGTCCTAGCTCAGCCTGGCAGAAGCTGGAGCAATCCCAGCGAGGTCAGAGGAAGTGACACGTGTCACTTGGCACAGATCCTGACTCCAACGCTGAGTACAGTGCAGTAGGGGAAGACGTATGGGGGTGGGTGCTCAGCGGTGTCCACAGGTGCTGTCTTTGAACCTCAGTTCATCACAGTCTAACGCCAGCAGGTGCACAGCCAGGATTATGGCTGACTCGCAACTCTGTTCTCCTTATACTCAACTTACTAGGTCTCTCTGAGGCCCCATGTCACCCTCCATCCTGCACCCTGTACCTTGCCTTTTTTTATAACAAGAAAAAAAAAACCAGCCAGATTTGCGTGCCCATCCCCAGCCCACCCAGTCTATCCTGCTTGGGCATCTAGCCTCATCTCCCCACCCAGACTGCTGGCCATGGTGTCACCTGAGACCACTGTGGGGTCCAGGAGACACTTCCCAGCCTGTTCTCCACCTGACAGCCCCATGAGATTGTTATAGGCATTGTGAGGCCCCCCCCTTCCCCAACCCTTAATTCACCCTGCCTGTTGCCCGGCCCCCACGATGCACACAGTGTGAGGGGAGGCTGAGAGAGGTCTGTCTGTAGGAGAGGAAGGGAATCCGGTCTCCAGATTTCCTGCCTTATGCAAAGTGGGTACATGGGATGTGCGTGTGGAATCCTGGGAGGCTTCCAGGAGAACGCAGGGTTTGACCTGCACTTGGAAGGATCAACAGAATTCTGAACTTCCAGGGAGAGGAAATGGCACACTCAGGGCACATGAAGTGGGGCAGCAGCTGTCTGCACTTGACGGGGATATACCCCATGTAGAACCTCACCGCATCCCTGGACTCCATGTCCCCATTTCACAGATGCTGCTCAAAGAGGTTGAGTCACAAAGCTAGGAAGAATAATGGGATTGCAGGGACTCCAGGGCTTGGGCTCAGTCGCAGTGTGTCCCAGGAGCCTGAGGTTGCTGTGGGTCTGGCTGTGCGTGTAAATCTGGTGTGTGTGTGTGTGAGACGTGTGTGGTGTGTGCCAGGGCTTTGTACCTTCCTCTGCATGCTGAGCCTCACTTGGGACCCGGGGCGCCAGACAACAGGTGGTGTGTGTGTGAGCCATGAGCTTGGGTGCCCAAGTTTGACTCTGCTCATCTGTGGATTGCTGTGGCATGGCAATGCTGGTAGTGTTGCCACAGCTGACCACGTGCTTGTAAGCCCTTGCCTGCCCCTGTTATGGGGCCCTGGGAGGGAGGTTCCTGAAAGCCACCCTCCAGCAGAGCCTGGAAGGAGGTGGGGTCACATCTGCAAGACCCCACTACTAAGTGGACTCTACTGGGAACCTGTGACTGCAAGGCCATTGTGGGGAAGGCACAAGACCCAGTACTGAGGAGTTGGACCGTGGCTGGGAAGAGGAGACAGAGGGTGCAGCTTTGGGTTCACAGTGGTATGCGCAAGGCCCCAGGGAGGTGCTCGGAGACTGCTTCCTCCTGGAAAGTGAAAGGTGTGTGCTGGAGGGCTTCCTGGATGAGGAGGCACTGGTACTTGGCTTTGAATACTGAAGAGGTTTATGTTGACAGAGATGAAATTGTGTAGGGAGGAGGCCATCCTAGAGGAGGTGTGTGGGAGGCCGCTGGAGGGCAGGCTCTGTTTCCCCTAAGAACAAACCCCAGGATCTCTTCCTGGGCCACTCCCTCTGCCCAGAAGACTTGCCCCTCACACTTCCCCTTCACACTTCCCCTTCACACTTCCTGTAGACCTTGGCTCATTTCCTAGACTCTGTCAAGGCACTGGGGCCCTGTCTTCCACAGCCCTGGCACCCTGTCTTAAAAGGAAGAAGTCTGTCTTTAGGGTAAACCGCAGGGCCTTACCCACAGCACCTTAGCAGTAGCTGTGCCAGGAGCTGTCCCTGGCTTCCTTGAGCTGTTGTCCCCTTCCACCATCACTGGTGGATCATGTGGGAGAATGGGCCTCAATGCCGGACCTGGCAAACTGAGCCCTCACCGGGCATGGCACTGTCCAGGCTGTATGGCCAGGCTCTGTGGGAGGATGCTACTTCCGGAGCCAAAGTCCCCTCAGCAGTGCAAATGGTATTTCCCATCATTCCGGATCGGCTGCATGGCTGTGGGGATGACGAAAACATATTCAAAGTGCCAAGCACAGAGCAGGTGGATGCTTGGCAGCTGCCAGGCCTAGGGACCAGAAACAGCAAAAGTCAGCTTCAGCCCTGTGCTCAGGGGAGGCACCCTCAGGCTGCCGACAGCACCTGCTCCTCCTCTCGGATGGAAGGATGGAACGCAGGGGATGGGAGGGATGTGTTCTTACTTCCTGGAGCTGGGGTAGTTGGGTTTACTCCCCTGAATAGCTGGCTCAGGACTGGGTCCAGCTGAAGCCAGGAGCCAGGAACTCCATCCCATGTGGGTGACAGGAACCCAAGCACATGAGCCGCCTTCTGACACCTTCCCAGGTGCCTTAGCAGGGAGCTGGATTGGAAGTGGAGCAGCCAGGACTCAAACTGCTGCCTGATGCAGGATGCTGGTGCCCCAAGGCCTGGCTTACCCTGCTGCACCACACACCCTGGCGCCTGGCTCCCCTTTTCAGGACTCGGATGATGAATTAAGTTGAGTCTACCGTGTTAGTCCCCGAACAACCATCCATCCCACGGGCCATGACCCTTACCACAACAGTCAATTTCATTTGAATCAATGGATCCCTGGGAGGGGGCCATGGACATCCTGGTGGGGGTGGAGAGAGATCATTATTCTACCGATCACAGGTGACCCAGATCAGGTGCAGTCACAGCAGTATTGGCAGGGGACCCTGTACCTGCTCAGGTGTGAAGGCCTGCTTTTAGCAAGAGGTTCAGTAGCTGCCCAAGATCGTGGCAGGATGTGTCCCCAACACCCTGGCCAGACTGCTGCCTGTGACACTGCTCCAGACGGCTTCCTCACGAAAGGACTTTGAACTCTGCGGAGCCCTGGTTTACCACCTGTACACTCTTCTGATCTCCTACTCTGCAGTGGGGCGGGTAGACAGCAAGTGAGCTCAGGCTCCAGGACTGGTACAAACACACACACTCACCTGCTTCTCTCCCTGGGAAGCCAGGACGAACAGAGAGAAATGGGCCAAGAGAGCCCCGGGTGAGCCAGAGCCTGGGGAGGGAGGACGGAGAGCGAGAATAAGGGAGAGGTTCTTCCCTCCCGGGCCAAGCCCTCTGCACGTACCAGCCTCTTTGATCTCCCAGCTGTTCTGCAGGGAAGTTTTTGTGGATCTGGAGTATTGTGTGAGAGTGGGTTTAGCCACATCTTACAGGAAGAGCAGCAGTCGGCTCCTGCTGCCCAGTGCCCATCTGCAGTCAGCCTCAGAAACCCTGGGGTGAAGCAAGACGCTCTCTCTCACCCGGCTCCCGAACCAGCCGCAGCCCACTGGATGCGCTGGTCCTGGCAGGGGTGGGTGTGAGTCTGCAGTGCATCTGCTCTGGGGACCACAGCAGCTTGGGTGTTGCTCAGGGCTCCGCCGCATGTCTGCTGTCAGCTGGTCTGCAGTGGCTTCGACTGGGACAGCTGGGGCATCCATTCTCTGCCATGTGCCTCAACCCGCAGCAGGTGACTCTGGACCAAGAGAGCGGGTGGATAAAGGGAAGGGCCCCCTCGTGGTCCTATCATGTTTGCTTGTATCCCATTGGTCAGAGCAAACCCCACGTCCAAGCCCAGAGGCAGAGGAAGACAGCACGTGGCACAGGACAGAGGGGAGATGGATCTGGCTGGGCAGACAGCGTAGCACAAACCAGTGAGGCTAAGGTGTAAACGGCGTGGGGCAGTGGAGTGGTTGCTGCTTGAGGACTCACCCGCAGGCCAGCCTCCTTAGTACACAGCTGTTTATCCTTATGGAGCCAATCGGCAGCAAGGGAGCCAGAGTGTGGCTACCACCTACAACGCTGGCGTCCACGTGAGAGCTGGTTCTAGTCCCAGCTGCTCCACTTCCCATCTGGCTCCTGCTAATGCACCTGGGAAAGCACCAGGAGATGACCTGAGTGTTTGGAACCCTGCTACCCACGTGGGAGACCTGGCTTCTGGCTTCAAGCTTCAGCCTGGATCAGCCACGTGGGCAGTGCAACAGCAGACAGAAAACCTCCAGCTGTCTTTCCCTCTCACTCTGCAGCTCTGCCTTTCAAGTAAATAATAAATCTTTTCTTTTAAAGAAAATAATAAATCTTTTTTTTTTAAGATTTATTATTTTTTTATTGCAAAGTCAGATATACAGAGAGGAGGAGAGACAGAGAGAAAGATCTGTCTGATGATTCGCTCCCCAAGTGGCCACAACAGCTGGAAGCTAAGCCAATCTAAAGCCAGGAGCCCAAAACCTCTTCCAGGTCTCTCACGCAGTTGCAGGGTCCCAAGGCTTTGGGCCGTCCTTGACTGCTTTTCCAGGCCATACGCAGGAAGCTGGATGGGAAGCAGGGCCACCAGAATTAGAATCAGTGCCAAATGGGATCCTGGCGCCTGCAAAGCAAGGACTTTAGCCACTAGGCTACCATATCGGGTCCATTAATAATAAATCTAAAAAAGTACAGGAAGCAGGAACCAGGACCGGAAATCAAGCCCAGTCATTTGAACGTGGGATGCAGGCGTCCTAACTTTGAAGCTAGATGCCCACTGTGTGGACCTCTCCCCTTTAAGAAGCCTACTGAGAAGACCCACCCAGGACTGGAGCTCAGAGCTCCCTGGCAAGCTCGTTGTCACAGGTTCCTTGTAGCTGCCAGAGGGTTGGGGGCCATGTGGTCTCTTATGGGGACAGAAGGTTCCAAGCTGGAAGCAGGGCTTTGTCCTCTGAGAAAGTTTGACCCGTACTGAACAGTGTCTGCCGTACCTGTAATACAGGTC